CTGCCGACGGGAAGGTTCCCCGGTCAAGGAAATCATCCGCATTGTCCACAAGGACTTTCTTCACCATGTCATAACCATGGACAACCACTGCTTGATCTGAGCCGAAATAGACCATGAAGACGGGTCCATATTTGGCGCTCAGCTGCAAAGGGATAAATCCAACCAACACCTATGGTTCAACCAAGTGGGAAACTCCAGAATGATGCAGCCAGCCTCCCACAACTCCCAATTGTTTCAAGAGGAGAATGTTGAACTACGACTCATGGACACTAATCCTGAAGCACCCCCTTTAGTTCCACCAATAGACTTCTCTCCATGCAACAGCTCTACTGCGGCTTGTGGTGGGATTTGGGGACAATCTTGTCATGATCATGAGTACAGCACAGTGATGAACCTTTAACTACTTCATCACACTAGAGAATGAATCCACTTTAAATCCGGTTTCTGCCTCCTGCAGAATTCTGGGGTTTGTCGTTTAGTGAGGTTGTTAAAGGCTCCTTCATAAATTACAAACCCCATCATTCTGCAAGAGGCAGCAACTAGATTTAAAGTGGCTTCATTCTCTAGTGTGATGGATAAATCCATACTTCCAATGATACTTTGGTAAAAGTATGATAGCTGATACTGAGTGCTGGTAGTGCTACGCTGATTCTGCAACTGTGGTTGTGACTGTGGAATACGTGTGTGACCATGTGGTCACGAGAGCGGGTGGAGTGAGACAGTGGAGTGAGAGACGCAGTTATAATCTTTGCTTTTGTTTTTAGGAGACAGAATAATGGCAGGTTTTTTTTTAAAAAAAAGCATTGGTAAAAGTATGATAGCTGGTACCGAGTACTGGTAGTGCTACGCTGATTCCGGTACACTACTTCATCAATGCTGATAGCACAACCTGGCAGCAAGATAGCACTGAACTCAGTTAACACAGGCGGAACACAGATAACAGTGAAGTAATCCTTCCCTATTTATTGTTCCCCCCCTTTCTGTCCCTCCCCCTTTCTGACCCACGTACGGCTTGTCTTCCGTTCCTACGAACTATCTTGGCGACTGTGTCCTGCCTGTGTCTCTCACTCGGTCTCACTTTACACGCTCTCACGACCACGTGGTCACACACATGCTCCTCATTGACAACCACAGTTGCGGAAACAGCGTAGCACTACCAACACTCGGTACCAGCTATCATACTTTTACCAAAGTATCATCTTATAAAGAAAGGTAGAGGTTTTGTAGCTATGCAATAATAACCACAAGCGCTATGTGTCAGAAAATAGTATCTGCACAGCATCCCAATAAATACAAGGAGATTGAGAAGAGGATTCACAGTCATGGTTTGGCAGAAGAAGGTCCTAGCAGTAGGGCCCAAGGCCAGATCATCACAATATTCCCTTTGTTGCTGATGGCTTCTATGTCAGGAAGGCATGGAGCTACTCTGGGGTTTAGTCCAGACTTGAAAGCTCGGCACAGTTCTGAACCTGTACCAGAGCATGGTAACCAATGTGGTCAAAGGTCTGGAAACCAAGCCTTGGAAGATATGACCGGAGAGGTGGGTCTGTTGAGCTCAGAGATGGGAAGATGCATTTACAATGGAGAATGATCTTGGCCACTGCTAGCTTGTCTCTCTTTCTTCTCCCAATTCCACCCATCTCTCCATTTACTCCAATTTCACCCCTTTTAATCTCTGTTCTCATATAACTGCAGTACCCAAGTGAAATTTTCCTCCTGGAAGTCTTTCTCTTCTTCCCACCTCCAATGTGATGCGGCGGCAAAAAAAGCCAATGGGATTTTGGCTTGTGCATCAATAGGAGCCTAGTGTCTAGATCTAGGGAAGTCATGCTACCCATGCTCTATTCTGCTTTGGTTAGACCACACCTGGAATATTGTGTCCAATTCTGGGCACCACAATTCAAGAGAGATATTGACAAGCTGGAATGTGTCCAGAGGAGGGCAACTAAAATGATCCATGGTCTGGAGAACAAGCCCTATGAGGAGCGGCTTAAGGAGCTGGGCATGTTTAGCCTGAAGAAGAGAAGGCTGAGAGGAGATATGATAGCCATGTATAAATATGTGAGAGGAAGCCACAGGGAGGAGGGAGCAAGCTTGTTTTCTGCTTCCCTGGAGACTCGGATGTGTAACAATGGCTTCAAACTACAAGAAAGGAGATTCCATCTGAACACGAGGAAGGACTTCCTGACTGTGAGAGCCGTTCAGCAGTGGAACTCTCTGCCCCAGAGTGTGGTGGAGGCTCCTTCTTTGGAAGCTTTTAAACAGAGGCTGGATGGCCATCTGTCAGGGGTGATTTGAATGCAATATTCCTGTTTCTTGGCAGAATGGGGTTGGACTGGATGGCCCATGAGGTCTCTTCCAACTCTTTGATTCTATGATTCTATGCATGGAGCTACTCTGGGGTTTAGTCCAGACTTGAAAGCTAGGCACAATTCTGGACCTGAACCAGAGCAGGGCAACCAATGTGGTCAAAGGTCTGGAAACCAAACCTTGGAAGATATGACCAGAGAGGTGGGTCTGTTTAGCTCAGAGAAGGGAAGATGGAAGGTGTATTTACAATGGAGAATGACTCTTGGCCACTTCTAACCCATCTCTCTCTCTTCTCCCAATTCCATCCATCTTTCCATTTACTCCAATTTCACCCCTTTTAATCTCTGTTCCCATATAATTGTAGTACCAAAGTGCTTGACATTTGACTCCTGGAAGTCTTTCTCTTCCCATGTCCCATCAATTTCTCCCTTCCGATCGTTTCCCGCAAATGACTATGATGTCAATGTGCCTTGGCACTCTGTCTCAAGGTCTCATTACCTTCAGTCTAGGCACTGGGTGAGTTTAGCCTGGAGAACCAGCCATCTTTAAGGACTTGAAGGGAATTGAGATATCTCTACTTTTTTGTCTCCCTTTTCTCTCTTTCACCCACATATAGTCTGGAAGGCTTGCAGAGCTAGTCTTCAGGTCTTCACCCAACCTTACAACTGAAGAGGTCCTCTGGACTCTGATTTACATCCTTCTTATTCTACTTTTCTAATTATGATTAATCCTTTCCAATTGTGATTACATCCCTTGAAATCTTGTTCTTTACCTTCTTCAATTGTTCTGAAATGTTGGTGCCCTTCAGCTGGAGGAGATTTCCAATGATGGGAAGAGGGGTTGGCCCAGGTGGCCAGTTCCTCCTCTTGGCCTCCACTTTCCTCCAGGCCACCAGGAGGACCAGGAAGACCACCAAGAAGATGGCTGTGGTCCCCAAAAAATCCATAGCCCCCCAACCTCTTTCTCTTTTGTTTGCAGTGGAAAATCCAGAGCTCAGCCTCTTTCTCTCTCCAGCTGCAGAAGGACTGAAGTCCAGAGACCTTCTCCAAAGTCCAAAATGCAAATAAAACGATAAGCACAATGATCCCCGCCCAATCATGGCTGTTACATAAGTTTAGAATGAGTTGCGTTTATGCCCTTTCTCTATTTATCTGATTCATGTCCCAACTTGCTCCTGGGATGGGAGCCAACCTGGGTCAGGTGAAGTTGAGAACAATGTGTACTAAAGAAAATGATGATCTGCCTCCAGATTTGCTGGTGTTAGGAGACAGGATCCTCACAAAAGTGGGGAAATCACAAATAAAAAGCTCATTTTTTAATCTAGCTTCAGTCTACGAAATCATGCTACCCCTCTATTCTGCTTTGGTTAGACCACACCTGGAATATTGTGTCCAATTCTGGGCACCACAATTCAAGAGAGATATTGACAAGCTGGAATGTGTCCAGAGGAGGGTGACTCGAATGATCAAGGGTCTGGAGAACAAGCCCTATGAGGAGCGGCTTAAGGAGCTGGGCATGTTTAGCCTGAAGAAGAGAAGGCTGAGAGGAGATATGATAGCCATGTATAAATATGTGAGAGGAAGCCACAGGGAGGAGGAGGGAGCAAGCTTGTTTTCTGCTTCCATGGAGATTAGGACAAGGAACAATGGCTTCAAACTACAAGAGAGGAGATTCCATCTGAACATGAGGAAGAACTTCCTGACTGTGAGAGCCGTTCAGCAGTGGAACTCTCTGCCCCGGAGGGAGTGTGGTGGAGGCTCCTTCTTTGGAAGCTTTGAAACAGAGGCTGGATGGCCATCTGTCAGGGATGCTTTGAATACAATATTCCTGCTTCTTGGGTTGGACTGGATGGCCCATAAAGTCTCTTCCAACTCTTTGATTCTATGATTCTATGTTTAGGTCTCCAGCACAAATTTGTAGTATATTCCCTGCTATTTCTGACAAACTTGCCCAAACTTCCCTCATGGGGCCAGGATACTATCTAGTGGTAAATTATGTCAAATGTGCCAGGAATCTGTAGCATATTGATAAAATTTAAAAAGTGGCATCCTTGGAATTCATGGACCCTTTGGTGTCACCAAAAACTACAAATCCAAAGATTCTGTAGGGTGCTGCTCAATGGGGAACTCCTAGTTGGAACCCCTTTTTAGGATTCTATTTAAAGATGGGCTTAAAGACAACCTTAAAACCTGTGGCATAGACAACGAGAACTGGGAAGCTCTAGCCCAGTAGTTCTCAACCTGGGGTCCCCAGATGTTTTTGGCCTACAACTCCCAGAAATCCCAGCCAGTTTACCAGCTGTTAGGATTTCTGGGAGTTGAAGGCCAAAAACATCTGGGGACCCCACGTTGAGAACCACTGCCCTAGCCCTTGGGCACTCTAGCTGGAGGTCAGCTGTGACAAGCAGTGCTGCAGAATTCGAAGAGGCACAAATGGCGGGCAAAAGGGAGAAACATGCCAAGAGGAAGGAGGGGAATCAAACCAACGCTGACTGGGACTGTCTTCCACCTGGAAACTGATGTCCTCACAGCGGGAGAACATGCAGATCAAGAATAGGGATACAGAACCACCTACTGACCCACTGCCAAGACACCAGTCTTGGAGGACCATCATCCTTAAACTATGAGGGATAGCCTCAGTAAGCAGAATTCTCTTGTTTGGTGGCTGGCCACCAATGAGGCACAAAAAGGCCACCCAAATCCAAACTTTATTGTAAATGTGCACAGGTAGAACTTTTGGAAAGCAATCATGCACAACCGAATGCAAAACCCAGCATCCATACTTTGTTTTTTAACACAATTGTGAGGTCAGGAGTATTGTGCTCCAAAACTCTGTCTGTCTGAATTCAGAAGTCCCAGAATATCTTGATGTGTTCATTTTCTGTAACTTTTTCTGGCTTGTGACTCCACCAGTTCTTTGTCGCAGGCAGACGGTTTTTGTGGCACAAGTTCCAATGAATCACCTGAGCAAGGGTGTTGTGCCTCTGCTTGGAGTCTGCCTGTGCGATCTTCTTGCAGCAGCTGAGGATGGGATCCATTGTTTCATCTGCTTCCTTGCAGAGTCTACACTTGAGATCTGTCATCGTTTTGTGCATACTATAGTTGGACAAATTATTATTATTATTATTATTATTATTATTATTATTATTATTATTCCAAGATGGCTCCCACTTTGAAAGAGCTCTGTGAACCCACTGGTGATGAATCTGGAACAAACTTGGCATAGAAACACCCTCCTCCCCATGACCAACAGAAAATACTGGAGGGGTTTGGAAAGAGATTGACTCTGGATGATGGGAATTACAATCTACCCTGCATCCAGGGAGAACTTCCACTTTGAACCTCTCCACCCCGGCAATGGAACTGGACCAAACATGGCACACATACCAACCATGACCAACGTTACATATTGGTTGGGTTTTCTTTTGGGGGCGGAGTGACTCTGCATGATGGGAGGAGTTATGGTTCACCCACATCCAGAGAGCACTGTGAGTCCCACTGTGATGATAACTCTGAAATGGACTTGGCACACACACTCACCATGACCAACTTTACATACTGGTGGGGTTTTTTTGGGAGGTGGGGGAAGGTGACCTAATCATACTCATCAATCATCATCAGTGTTAACTACGGCTGCAGATAAATGACAGTGTCAGATGATGGCAATGGCAATGGCAATGACAGATGATGAGGGAGTGCAAGTTTACTAACATTTAGCTTAGCTAAAACCACGGGTTTGGAGCCTGGAGTGCCAAGCTTCCAACGAGCCAGGTAAGACACAGGTGGGTTAAAGGCTTTATTCTCAATGGCCAAAGAGGATGTCAGCACAGATAGCTCTCCAAAGAATTGACTTCCCTCAATGTAAACATGCAATATAGCATTTTGGCCCCATTTTGAAACAGGACTTCTTGAAAGGACTTCTGCTGTCCTGAGTGTCAATAGATCCAGGTTGTGGCCGCTAGGATTGGCAGGCTGGTTGGCTGCAAAATGGCAGCATCTACAGCAAGGAAAGAACTTCATGGGACAAAATGAGCTGCTCAGAACAGGACTTACGTGGAATATACAGGATGCCATGGATGTCTGGGGTAAGATCAGTTTGGGTTTCCTGTAATTAAAATGGGAGCATCGACATTGAGGAGAGAACTTCCTGGGAGCAGAGCGGGCTGCTCATAATGGGATTTTAAATAGAGGAAACCAATGGGCATGGGCATGAGATATTCAGCATGCCACTGAGATCTGAGCCATGGTATTCCCTGTAGTCACCTCCGGATGTGAGAGCTGGACCTTAGGGAAGGCTGAGCGAAGGAAGAGAGATGCTTTTGAGCTGTGGTGCTGGAGGAAAGTTCTGAGAGTGCCTTGGACTGAGAGAAGATCCAACCAGTCCATCCTCCAGGAAATAAAGCCCGGCTGCTCACTGGAGGGAAGGAGACTAGAGACAAAGCTGAAGTCCTTTGGCCACATCATGAAGAGACAGCAAAGCCTAGAGAAGACAATGATGCTGGGGAAAGTGGAAGGCAAAAGGAAGAGGGGCCGACCAAGGGCAAGATGGATGGATGGCATCCTTGAAGTGACTGGACTGACCTTGAGGAGCTGGGGGTGGTGACAGCCAACAGGGAGCTCTGGCATGGGCTGGTCCATGAGGTCACGAAGTGTCGGAGACGACTGAACGAATGAACAACAACAAACTGAGATCTGAGGTAAGGTCATCATTGGAAGTGAAAATGGACGCAGATGAGGCATCACAACAGGGTTAAAAGTCTGGTAATTAAATCAGCAAAATGGAAACTCGGGAGAGAACTTCAGGAGAACTGCAAGAAGCAGAGTGGGCTGTTCAGAATGGGACTTTGCACAGGATATTCAGGATGCCACTGAGGTCTGGGTAAGATCAGATTTGGTTTCATGTAATTAAAATGGCAGCATCTACACTGAGGAGATGTCTGTCTGCTCACTGGAGGGAAGGACGCAAAGATGAAGTCCTTTGGCCACATCATGAGAAGACAATGATGCTGGGGAAAATGGAAGGAAAAAGGATGAGAGGCCGACCAAGGGCAAGGTGGATGGATGGTATCCTTGAAGTGACTGCCTTGACTCTGAAGGAGCTGGGGGTGGTGACGGCCAACAGGGAGCTCTGGCCTGGGCTGGTCCATGAGATCATGAAGAGTCAGAAGTGACTGAACGAATAATCATCAAGGAGAGAACTTCACGAGAGCAGAGCGAGTTCCTCAGCGTGGGGAGAAGCAGAAGGGGACTTGACGTGGGATGTTCGCGAAGCCGCTGACATCTGGGGTGAGGTCGATCTTGGTGACCCCAGGAGGGAACTTCAGGCGGAAATTCTGCAGGATGGTGGTGAGGAAGAGGAAGAGCTCCATCCGGGCCAGTCCTTCACCAAGACAGTTCCTCTTTCCTGGAGGAGAGGGAAACAGAAGATGCTGGCAATAGATATCACAGGGAGGGGATGTATCCCGTGGGATCACTGGAAAGTTACACCTTTAGACTACAGCTTCTACAACCCTCCAAAAGACTGAGGGATTCTGGGAGTCAAAACAAGTAACTTTCCCAAGGTCTGTTTATTTCATGATGCCATATCTACTTTGAATGTCTTGGATTTGGGAGTTTGAATGTCTTTGATTTAGAGTACATTGCTTAGAGTACTTGGAGAGATGGAAGGGTGCTCTCAATGCCCAAGTAGCCACAGGCATGCATTGTGTGCTGGGAGCAGCCTGACTCCAGCATTTCTGATACCTTGAACATTAGGCATGCATTGATTTTCCATCCTATGTGTCCACCCCGTATGTCCCCTTAACTACAGTCTACAGTCTAAAGAAGTCACATGCAACTCCTGGAACGATTCCATCAGCGTTGTCTCCAAAAAATCCTGCAAATCTCTTGGGAAGACAAGCAGACAAATGTCAATGTGCTGGAAGAAGCAAGGACCACCAGCATTGAAGTGATGGTCCTTCGCCATCAACTCCGCTGGACCGCCACGTTGTCCGGATGCCTGACCACCATCTCCCAAAGCAGTTGCTCTACTCCAAACTCAAGAATGGAAAACAGAATGTTGGAGGACAGGAAAAGAGATTGAAAGATGGGCTCAAAGGCAACCTTAACAACTCTGGCATAGACACTGAAAACTGGGAAGCCCTGGTCCTTGAGCGCTCCAGCTGGAGGTCAGCTATGACCAGCAGTGCTGCAGAATTTGAAGAGGCACAAATGGAGTGTTAAAAAGAGAAATGTGCCAAGAGGAAGGTGCATCAAGTCAACCCTGACCGGGACCGCCTTCCACCTGGAAACCGATGCTCTCACTGCGGGAGAAGATGCAGATCACCTATGGACCCACTTCCAGGATACTACACTTGGGGGACCATCATCCTTGGACTACGAGGGATCGCCTAAGTAAGTAAGAAAGTCCCCTTCACTATCTCTTCACAATGTGTCCCAGAAATGACCAAATGAACACTCAGTGAAGACAGTTCCCAGTGGTTTTGAGCACCCTTTTTGATCTTTTCTATAAATGTTCATATATATTATCCCCCACCCTTTCCAAAATCCAGCTATTCCTCAGACCTGCAGAGAAAGGCACATCAGCTCCGTTCTTCTTGAAATTCCCTTTCTCATCCAGGAAATGTTCTGGGTTGAAACGGTGTGGATTCTTAAATTGCTCGGGACAATTCAATGCCGAGGTCAGCATGGTCAGGACGGTCGCACCCTGATGAAAGGAAACACAGCAACAGCAGACAAGAGTCCTTTGTCTCACCCTGGTCATTCCACAGATATATAAACCCATTTCCCTAGTTCCAACAGACCTCACTACCTCTGAGGATGCTTGCCATAGATGCAGGCGAAACGTCAGGAGAGAATGCCTCTAGAACATGGCCATATAGCCCGAAAAAACCTACAACAACCATGGATTGTATTTTAATGGAAAGTGTGGGACTGCTTTTGGCTGATGAGATAGGATTGTGGTTGTTGTTGTATGCTTTCAGGTCGTTTCAGACTTAGGTTGACCCTGAGCAAGGGCCAGGTAAATGACCTTGGAGGGCTGTATCCAGCCCCTGGGCCTTAGTTTGAGGACCCCTGGTTTAGGGCTTTGTAGGTAATAACCTGCATCTTGAATTGGGACCAGAAACTTATCAGCAGCCAGTGGAGCTGTTTGCATCAATACAGCGAAAAAGGGCAAAATCCATACACTTGAGAACAAAACGGTGAGTAAATCAGATCAAAAACCATGAAGATATGAACAAGACCCAAAATCCAGAAACTTGAACACATGAAGCAAGGCCATAGATCTTAAGAGTTGTTCCCACTTGAAATGCAACATTGTTCTCACAAAGAGCTGTACACTTGGAGCCAACTTAAAAGCCTCAATTCCCTCCCATGACATCACTCCTCATACACCTGGTTCTTCACTGCTTATCTCAAAGCTGCTGAGAAAAGTGAGCCTGTCCCTCTCTCACACTCTTTCGGCACATTCTCATGGGAATAGATTTCGCTTTCTCTAATATCCTGAGAATTACAAGCAGATTCACTAACACATCTCTCCATGACACTTCTACCCGCCCCCCCCCCCAAAAAAACCTCCCTCCTGAGACTCCCCCTTCCTCATCCTCTGAAGCATCAGATTGTTTACAAACCACAATACACTGGAGTCTCTGCCTTCCTAGAAAAATAATCCCAGGTCAGCAGAAGCCGGGTGGTGGTGGTGGTAGTAGAATACGTTCCTAAGAGGACACCACTGAATGCACACTGGAGTATGGTCACACCGTTGAAGCCATGCCTTTGACATGCACTGAGGGGGAAAACATGATTTCAATCCCATATTTCTTTACTCTATTTCTGACAAGCTCTGCCTATAGTTGACTATGGGTAGCTTATGAAGGGGACCATGATTCATGTGAAGGTTCCGTCAGATGAAGAGTCTCAAGACTGTGTGAGGAGGTCCTCTGTCACAGTAGGAAGACATTGCTGAAATTACCAGTGACTTCCATCACTAATGAAGTTGGTAAGAAATACATCCCTAAAGCAATCTGCATCTCCCAATCAGAATAAAGATCTGACTGTCCATTCAACACCATGGTGTCAAGGTATTTTTTGTCTCCTTAAAAGAAACTCACAGTTGCGGACCCCCTTATGTGCCATGGTACCTTTGGGATGATGAAGCCTTCCAGTTCCACGTCCCTCTTTGCCTTTCGAACAAGCCCAGAAGGGATAAGGTCAAGAACTCGCTGGGCTTCATGGATGACTGCTTCTGTGTAGGGCATCTTGGGGCGGTCAGCCATGGTGGGTGATCGCTCCTGCCCAATCACGGAGTCTATTTCCTCATGAACCTTTACTGGAAGAAGAATCAAAGACAATGTGATTCCGTACATATAGAAAAAAAGAGACCCAGCTTTGGTTAGCTTCCCATCCTTTTTTCAACTTGTCTGCACAGGATAGTGACAGTCTTGTCGAAGGCTTTCATGGCCGGAATCACTGGGTTGTTGTAGGTTTTTTCAGGCTATATGGCCATGTTCTAGAGGCATTCTCTCCTGACGTTTCACCTGCATCTATGGTAAGCATCCTCAGAAGTAGTGAGGTCTGTTAGAACTAGGAAAATGGGTTTACATAGATGCAGGCGAAACGTCAGGAGGGAATGCCTCTAGACCATGGCCATATAGCCCGAAAAAACCTACAACAACCTAGTGACAGTCTGTTAATTCTCAGCCATCCCATCTGCTTTAAATGTGTCCTGGTTTCTCCCTTCTTCTCCTACCTTTCCTCTTTGTCCTTGGTTTACCCCACTTGCTACAAATTGACTTCAAATTGCAAATGCCCTTAATGAACTCTTACCCTTCCCAGTTGGCTCAACCAAAATCAAACTGCTGCAACCTCTGCTCAAGAATAAGGAATATGAGTTCAAGCAACAGTGTGTGGTGCAGCTGGCTGAGTGTCATAGAATCATAGAATCAAAGAGTTGGAAGAGACCTCATGGGTCATCCAGTCCAACCCCATTCTGCCAAGAAGCAGGAATATTGCATTCAAATCACCCCTGACAAATGGCCATCCAGCCTCTGTTTAAAAGCTTCCAAAGAAGGAGCCTCCACCACACTCCGGGGCAGAGAGTTCCACTGCTGAACGGCTCTCACAGTCAGAAAGTTCTTCCTCATGTTCAGATGGAATCTCCTTTCTTGTAGTTTGAAGCCATTGTCCGTGTCCTAGTCTCCAAGGAAGCAGAAAACAAGCTTGCTCCCTCCTCCCTGTGGCTTCCTCTCACATATTTATACATGGCTATCATATCTCCTCTCAGCCTTCTCTTCTTCATGCTAAACATGCCCAGTTCCCTAAGCCGCTCCTCATAGGGCTTGTTCTCCAGACCCTTGATCATTTTAGTCGCCCTCCTCTGGACACATTCCAGCTTGTCAATATCTCTCTTGAATTGTGGTGCCCAGAATTGGACACAATATTCCAGGTGTGGTCTAACCAAAGCAGAATAGAGGGGTAGCATTACTTCCTTAGATCTAGACACTATGCTCCTATTGATGCAGGCCAAAATCCCATTGGCTTTTTTTTGCCGCCACATCACATTGTTGGCTCATGTTTAACTTGTTGTCCACGAGGACTCCAAGATCTTTTTCACACGTACTGCTCTCGAGCCAGGCATTGTCCTCCATTCTGTCTCTTTGCATTTCATTTTTTCTGCCAAAGTGGAGTATCTTGCATTTGTCACTGTTGAACTTCATTTTGTTAGTTTTGGCCATCTCTCTAATCTGTCAAGATCGTTTTGAATCCTGCTCCTGTCCTCTGGAGTATTGGCTATCCCTCCCAATTTGGTGTCGTCTGCAAACTTGATGATCATGTGCTGCATTAAGATCACTCTGACCAAAAGGTCACGAGTTCGAAGCCAGCCCGGGTTGGAGTGGGTTTCCAACCAATTGTGTAGCCTGTTGTCGACCTTTGCAACCCGAAAGACAGTTGCATCTGTCAAGTAGGAAAATTAGGTACCACCTTAAAGTGTGGGGAGGCTAAATTAACTAATTTATGAGGCCATAAAAAAGACTCCAGCAAAGCACTCCAGCAAAAAAAGCATGCGGGGAATGTGGAAGTACTTCATCAGTGTCGCAGATGGACAATGAAAGCAATAGCTCCCCTGGCGGCCAGAAAAAGTTAAATAGCCTCTGTCTATGTCTGTATATGTTGTATGTCAAAATTGGCATTGAATGTTTGCCATCTATGTGTACACTGTAATCCGCCCTGAGTCCCCTGCGCGGTGATAAGGGCGGAATATAAATGCTGTAAATAAACTAAATAAATAAATAATTTTAGATAGATAGAAACGGCAAAACATTTCTAATCATAGAATAAAATAGTGTTGGATGAACATGTGGTATATTGATAGCACCTGGGTATGACTGAATGTCGTAATGCAAT